GAGCTACAGCTGGTGGTGATACTGCTGCTGAAGGGCCTGAGTTGATGAGGCCGATGATTAAATGCGTATGAGCAATTTTTAGTGTTTCGACGATAATCGAATTTTTGCTGCAAGCTGCTAGCGCCGCAGTTTGTTGCATGTAAACTTTATGTTTATTACTCAAATTGAGTTCTCTAATCGCAATTCTATGCAACCCAGGCACAGGCATCCATCAGTTAGCTGCCAAGAGCCATCAAAATTATAAATAAAAAATTACAACCAAATATATAAAGTAAGAAATAAAGAACGAAGAATGGAGAATTATATGGAGGATAATAAGATGAGAACACAAAGATGAGCTGCCGTTTGATGAAGTGCTTCAAAGCCGCTAACGCAGCTATGAGGGTGTGTGTGTATCCACATCCTCAGTGGAAACTCAACTTAAATGGAGTCGGAAAACTGCTGATGGTGACCTTTTCATGGTAACGCCAAGGTACGGCAGTCGCGCACATGTGTGTGGATGTAGAGGATGCAAGTTATCTAGTCTGCGGCAAGGCGGTGCCCCACCAACCGTGCGCGCCATCGTCGTTGTCATTACAAAGTTTCTAAACTTTACGATTAAATATAAAATCGCTCGCTCGTTTCGTTTATTTCGTGTCGCTACGCTGATTCGGCTGGTGGGGGCATGCGTGGCACTTCGCCAGAGCGGCAGCGGCTCAACCGCCCGATAGTATTAAAAATGCGCAAACAGCGTGGCGAAACTGCACTGTAATGGCACTTTTATGGGCGCATCTCTAGTGAACTCGCTCCTAAATTGCAAACCGCTGGCAAGCAACAACAAATATAAAAATTAACTACAAAGCAACGAAATCCGCTTCGAAATTAAGGTAACTACAGGGACAGGGTTACAAATCGGGTAGGTAACAGCGAGGCCGGTGCTGACGGGGTCGGTACATCTCCAAGTCATTTCGTTTTTAATTTCCGTAATTTCAGCAGAAAAATTTTTGCAATATAAAAAGCAAACATCGAAATTTATAGACCTACACCACCAACACCCGCCGCATGCCACTTCTTATGACGCCACCCAGGCCCGGACTGCAATGGGGTGGCCCTTCAGCGGTACTCGCATATAAAGTTGTGTCAGCACTGTCGAAAGGAGACATTAAATCGTGAAATAACAACAAGGCAACAACAAAGCGTCAGCGGTAGCAAGTATGCTTTAAGGCTGTATTGTAGTTGTACAGGAGAGGGGCAGCGGAGGCTTCATGGCACAGGAAGCGCGCAACAAAGCAACATTTGATGAACCTCAAAGCGGCTACGCCCCCTTCCACTCACTTGTGGAAATGCCATTTCTCTATTAAACAATTCACCCCCACCGCCCGTTTTGCGTTGCTTACCGCTACTTACACGAAAAATTTAATGACAACACTAAAAAGTTTAAGCTTTGTTATTGTAGGGGTGGCGCTGGGTTAACAACAAAAACAACCTAAGACGTGCGGATATGTGCTTAAGAAAATATGAGGCTGTAAAATGGCAAATTCATGACCTAATGGTCGGATCAGGAGCGCCGGCCCCTCACCTCTTTCGCTTTAATTCTCAAAACGCCGGAGAAACTTAGCTGCAAGCTCACAGTTGGCACTCTCAACATGGATAGTGTTCAAGCTCAGCGCTCAGCCTTCAAGTGCTGGCCCAAACACCCGCACACGGTGTGTCTGAGCAGTACTGCAGAAGCTTTGTTGCTTACTAAATAAATAAGTTTTTTTGGCTATGCACAAAGTGTGTGTGGCGCTTACGCGTTTGTAACGATTCGGTTATTACCGTTATATTGCCGAAACAACGCAAACAACGCACATAACTCAATATTCGACATCTTTGCCGCTAGTAAAGAATGTAGTATATTCCCCTTTTTATGGCCCCAAGCGGCATAGCGCCACCACGCTGCCGCTGACTGGGCTCTCCTGCAGAACTCCACCACACCTACACACGCATCGGCTCATAGCTTAGTGCACACGCCACGCATTTATTGCACTTACACGCGGACGCACAAGTTTATGCGCCGCTATACGCTCCATACAGCGCCAGCAATGCGGCGGCGGCTAACGGTGTATTGCGTTAATGATTTGATCTTTGTGGAGCGGGACCCTGGATTTTGGACAACTTCGGCAAGGGGTGGGCGCGCTCCTGCGGCAGCTATTTCCTTTCGAAAAATTAACAAACCCATAACTACAAAATACTAAAACGGCGCAGAAAAAACGAGCGGAATACTAAAAATAACGAAAAGAAATGAAACATTTTACAACTTTGTTGTACACTTTACGCTCCTGCCAACGGCGGCTGGGCGGCTGCATCCCACCCATTTCTAGCAGGTTGCTTTGCATCTTTTTCTTGCCCTTAGTTGCTTATTTACTGCTTAGGGATATGGCTGTGCCCTTATTGCCCTATACCCGCCAATAGCTTTGTGCTGGACGTTTCTCCAGAGTCTAAGCCCGATCCCACCTTCGGCCGCGGTATGCGCTCGCTCGCTTCGTTGTCTTGTACTTTTTCAAATCTTTGTCTTTAATGGACCATCAAGCTGCATTCGCTGGCTCGGCTTACGCCTTTTGTTGTTGTAGACATTGCTGCACATACGTAGAGTGGGTGTGTGTATGTGCTGGCCTCTGATGCGGCCATAGTCGTAGCTGGCTGTAAAAATGCGTTTTAATGGTTCAATAAAAATAAAAAGTTTCCATTAAATTCTGAAAAAACAATTAGCGTAAAAAAGCATTTTCAAATTTGCTTCTTTCTTTACGCTGATGCCTTATGCAGTAGATGCAGCTTTTACTGTTGTTTGTTGTAGATATTTCGGGGTCCCTGTTTTCTTTTGGTTTTTTTTTTTTTTTTTTTTTTTTTTTTTTTTTTTTTTTTTTTTTTGTTTTTTTTTTTTTTTTTTGCTTTAATCGTTTTGGCTATTGTAATAGTTTTGTGGCAATTATTCTTTGTCGTCAGAATTTCTAAAATAATCAAAAAAGTCTAGTATCTAGTCTAGTAGTCTAGTATGGTAAAAGCTTTAAGCTTGGCTGCTCTATGTATACTCCTTTTCGAAAGGTGGAACATATGCGAATTGATCGTGAGTTTCACAGATAAATATGGATATTTCGTGACACACTTTTGGGACTGTCAGCTGCTCTATATTCAAACTTAAAATACTAAGAGCATTTGTCCAAAGCTTTAGCAAGATATTTTTTCAAAATATATAATAATAATATAAATAACTAAAAATTGATTTTCGATGTTAGTTTTTATCATTTCTGATTCGATATATATGATGAGTATAATCCACTCTTAACATTTGTTGATGCTGATTCGATGTTACGAATTCGACTTCACTTACTTAGATGATCTACAAGCAGTTGTGTCAACTTTTCCTCATCCTTTCTCCCAATTATCGTCTGGGGTATGCAACATATGCACTTCATCTAATTTTCATTATTCTATAGGGACTATTAAGGTATTATTTAAATTCACGCTATTGCCCTTCTCTATTGAAGCTAATGCGGTTTCCTTTTCTTAAAAAAAATGTAAACATGTTTATGAAAATGCCTTTTATTCCGGTGTTTTTTAAATTCCTCGTTCTGGATATCTTCTTCGTTCTCTTCAAAATTTGTTCTAACGCTTGTTTGAAAAGCAGCAATGAAATCGGTGATGGTCTTTATGTATTCCTTGTCCGCAACTAAAATTCTGTTTTGGTTCGGACCGAAATCGCAGTCTCAAAAGCGTATACTTAATTGATTTAGAATACTGTAGCCATATACCCTAGCCCATCTGCATCGTTTACCTTCAACAAGTATGAGAGTGTTCAGTTTGAGACTTACCATATCGTTGACAGTGTCGACAGTGATTTTGTTATTTTTCAGATAATAAAGACTGCGATTGGACATTCATTTACTAGTAACCATTTCAGCCATAGTTTACGTAAGCTTTGTCCAACAATCCTCGTCCTCGCGACTTCATCTTCGTACCACGATGCCAACGACATGTGATTAAATTACAGCCAGCAATAGTCCTAACATGATTCCAATAAATGCAGATTTTAGTGTAGCCGAATAAATCGACGCATGACAACATTCTGCTGCAATGTAAATGTTGTAAATGACATCATTAATTCTTAGAAATTTCGAAAGTCTCCTCGACCAATGCTGCGCTGCCACCACAGCGCTGTTAACCTCGTAAAGTGTGTCCAACCAATTAAACTTGCGAACTTGACGACCCACATCTGAGAAGAGCAGAAACGGTGCCACTTCGCTGTGCACAAAGCACTCGAGATCCATCAAGGAGCTTACGAAGCAACATAAATGTGGCAAAGAACACATCCGTGGCATTTATGAAGCCATCAATGGTGCACATGGATAACAACATCCAAACAACAAATAACAAACATCAAGCATTATAGCGATAGAACTACAACAACAACTATGACAACAACATTACGCACATTACCGTTTTACGAGCTCATTGTGCACGTACACACGCACTTGTAGGAGCAGTCGAGCCATTTTGGACCTACACATAAAAGCTGCCATGAAGTACAAAGTTTGGCAACATTTATTACCCCGTTCGCCCGATAAAAATAAGAAGCAACACTTAAAAGTTGCAATTGTAAATTTTAAAATGTCACTGCATGGCGATGCCTTAATGTGCCGTGTCCAGGAGGTGGGTGCGGATGTGGTGCGGCATGGGAGGCACAACCACTTGTCAGGGGCCGCAACAACAAAAGTGACATGAAAACCTACAACTAAAGTGGGATCACTTCAAATAATTCGAAATCTGCTTACTATGTAAGCAATCGTTGTTAGTAGTTCGGGTGTTTCACAGTCCTCGACACACCTACTCGCCCCGCAACCCCAAATGAACTGAAACTGCGGAAGTAAAGAGACTTCGCTGTTGTTTGCTGGCGAACGAATAAAGTTTATTTCTGTTCATACAAGCAAACACTGCAATAATCTAGGAAGTAAATGGAAACCAAATCGAATGAGAAAAAAGGATACATTTCGAATGGGTTGAGTTTAATGTTCCCTTTTATATTTCATTGTATTTTCTATATCATATATGTATGTTCGTTTTAGTCCTGCAGCGCTGGCGTTGACTCGGCAGCTATTCGGATACGGTGGGAAGTAGGTCATGGTGATCAGCCGATTATTTGGATCACCACGGTTTGGTTGGCAACAGATGAATTCAGAGCTTAGAAGCACTTGCGGTGCACGATACCGGGACCGGATTCGTCGTACTCCTGCTTGGAGATCCACATCTGCTGGAAGGTGGAGAGAGAGGCCAAAATAGAGCCACCAATCCAAACGGAATATTTGCGCTCAGGTGGAGCAATGATCTTAATCTTAATGGTCGAAGGAGCCAAGGCAGTAATTTCCTTTTGCATGCGATCAGCGATACCTGTGAACACGTACAAATATATTTTATTTTCTTCTGCAGAAAAAACACAAAAAGCTTCTGATGTGCTATACTTACCTGGGTACATAGTGGTACCACCGGACAATACGTTGTTGGCATACAAATCCTTTCGGATATCTACATCGCACTTCATGATGGATTGGTAGACAGTTTCATGGATACCGCAGGATTCCATACCTAAGAATGACGGCTGGAAGAGCGCTTCGGGTGTGCGGAACCGTTCATTACCAATAGTAATCACTTGACCATCAGGCAATTCATAAGACTTCTCCAATGAGGTAGATGCAGCAGCTGTTGCCATTTCTTGCTCAAAGTCCAGTGCGACATAGCACAACTTTTCCTTGATGTCCCGCACGATTTCACGCTCAGCAGTGGTGGTGAATGAGTAGCCACGCTCTGTTAGAATCTTCATGAGGTAGTCGGTCAAATCGCGACCGGCCAAGTCCAGACGCAAGATAGCATGAGGCAAGGCATAACCTTCATAGATGGGGACTGTGTGGGAGACACCATCGCCAGAGTCCAATACAATGCCTGTGGTACGGCCAGAGGCATAAAGTGACAATACAGCCTGAATGGCGACATACATTGCGGGTGAGTTAAATGTTTCGAACATAATTTGGGTCATTTTCTCGCGATTTGCTTTGGGATTAAGTGGAGCTTCGGTCAGCAGAACTGGGTGCTCCTCAGGCGCCACACGCAACTCATTGTAAAATGTGTGATGCCACACTTTCTCCATGTCGTCCCAGTTTGTGATGATGCCGTGCTCGATGGGGTACTTCAAGGTGAGGATACCACGTTTGCTCTGTGCCTCATCACCGACATACGAGTCTTTCTGACCCATACCCACCATCACACCCTGATGGCGTGGACGACCCACAATCGATGGGAATACCGCACGAGGGGCATCATCACCTGCGAAGCCAGCCTTGCACATTCCGGAGCCATTATCGACAACCAGAGCAGATGCTTCATCGTCACACATCTTGAAGTTTTATAATTTTTCACTGCAAAGACAGTAAAACACACGAATTAGTGGAGACATCTGATATCACCAGTGTAATGTGAGGAAACTTACACAAACTACGGCAGTAACAGATTAAGTACAAAATCCAAATTCACAATAGACGTGAAGATCTGCAGTAACGTGTGACTTCCGACGTGACAGCAACCAAAGTGATTCGGTTATGTTGGACGCAGCGCCTTTTAAATTGACACAGTGCTCTCAAAAATGAAATACCATTTTGATGCTTGGATGCTCTCCACAATATCGGACACATATCAATTCTTTCTTTCTCATCTGCAGTTGATTTGCTTGTCATGTAGTCGGAGAAAGGGCGTCAAAATGAGATGAATTTCTATTCGCATGCAATGCTTGCCTTCGATGTGACGCACAATTCTGCTGCCAAGAAGTAATGAAATTTTTGTTTTGTCAATTATTGTTAGTGTACTATACATACATCTGTGTTGTTTGCAACTAAAGTCCCAGAGAATGGGCGCCACTAGTAGGCGCGCAGGATCAAGAATAATTTTTGCTTGCCGTCGTTCTTTGTTTTCGCTTGTTTATAAATACAAATGGGGTAGGGACGTGTTGTAGGGGTACTGCAATGAGAGAACGCTCTTGGAAGTGTAACGATCGCCATAGATGGTGTGGCATGCATAGTAATCACTTCTTGTGCCACACCACATTGTGCGACATGTATTTTATAATGTGATGACGGACAAGTCTTTTTGCACCCTCGCTTTACCCAATGATCATTTGCTGTCTCAATTTTTGCCACAGTGGGCTCCAATGTTTAAATTGCTTTATATAAAAAAAGGTAGTCGGGAATCGTTGTCCTATGAAATATTGTGCATAAGAGATTTATTGTTGTTATTGTAGAACAATATACTATAAGTAGTTTTGCCTAGCACAAATCCGTACCAGTTTCGATTATGTGAAACCAACTATGTTACAGCGCAAACGGTGGGCAAGTTGCGGCCTTATTGGTATTCTCCAAAGAATGGTTGATTCTACCTAATCTGGTCTTGTTAATCTTTTCAAAAGCAATAGGTTACCATATCTATGTATGGGGTTATTTCCATGAATATTATGTCTTAATAAATCGGTTTTGTATTAAAATAAGAATAAAAATAAAATATGACCGGACTAGGTTTTTTTAAATAAGGTTTCCTTGCCTTAATCCAGTTTGAATTCTCTTCTTCTTTTTCTAATTCCTATAAAAAGAAGTCAATATAGAGCAAAAAGTTACAGCAGATGATCGGCGATGTGAAAAGTATGAACTCCCTTCATGCAGGAGGCGATCTAAGCCATAGAAAGATAAATTCTTGACCCCAAATGTTATAATTTATTATTAACTGAGATTATAACTAGCTGAAAAACCCCAAATGCGACCTTACCTCAAACATATGTGGAAATTCAAACGCATCAAAGGCGGAACAGTTTACAGGTACTTAAGGTTATAACGAGTTTTCTAATTTTAAATTTGTTTGTACGGACCATATAGTAGTCAGATATTTTTGCTTAAAAAATCTCTCATTTTAATTTATTCATGGTACAATGACTAATTGAAGTTCAAGGAGTATGTGGGCATCAAAATTTTGAAACAAGTAACATGGGCCTCTCCGCCTCACACAGAAAAAGATAGCCTTATGAATACATACATGTGAATGAGTGAATTTGTATCTGTGCTTAGATTAGTGTGAAGTCTCGCGAACCTCAGCCCGAAGATCATTAACATCATAAAATGAGGTGTGTATTTATAACCCGCCGCACTTTTCTGTAATCCACATACACATCCACATTCATTGGTATAATATTAACTTGTCAACTTAATACGCCCAGATTGCGCTAACAAAGCGCAAAGAAATGATACGTGCACACATATATACAGACGCGAATGGTCTATAAATTTAGTGAAATTCCTTAGCGAAAATGAAAACAGAAAATATTTTGAAAATCTCCCCATTTCGCCACTCCCAGTTGCAAAAGCATCGAGAACGATCACTGCGGGGTGGGGAGCTGTTCATTGGCAATTCTGACAAGTGGCTGATGTTATTTATAAGGTGCAATACTGGTCCCCTTCTATGCTAAGCGATGTGGCACGCCTTCAACCAATTGCTAAGAAAATTCGTTCGGCTTTTCTTAGTGGCACTGGTGAGATGGTGTTTTGTGGCTTTTGTGTACGGATAAATGTGTGTATAAGAGGCCCTTGCGGCCCCCAAAAGGTATGAAAGCTCGCTCCACTTTACTTGCGCATATATTTGCACATACACACACACATCCACACGCGCATAAATCAGTTTTGCCACGGAGCGTTTCAAATTCACGTTGGACGCCGCCGAATCGCTTGAAATTCCTCAGTTCCGCGGACAATTTATGAAGTGTGCGTTGAACATTCAACGATTAGCACTTGTAGTCTTGCTGTCTTGAAGACTAAAGACTTAATATCATTCAGTAGTGTGTTTAGATACGAAAATATGAAATAAGAATTGTGAATTAATGCGTTATTTTATGAATGAGATGAGCTACCAATTTGGCGGAAAGGATACGAAATTTTTGTTTTGAAATTTATGAATGGAAGAACGAAGTACAAGTAGTTATGCTCTCCTCAGAATATTTGAAAACAAAAGAACTAAACACATTGTTGCTAAGGTGATAACTATTTTTTCTAGGTAGGGGTATTATGAAGTTGCCGTTTAGATGAAAACAGATAATTGAACGAAACGATGCATATTCGAACTAAATCCGATCACTGTGACACTTTTTATAAAGTCCTGAATATAGATCAAAAAAACGGAAGCGAGATATTTGATAACCTAATAAGTTGGTGATAATATTAGGTGATGATATTAATATATACTGAAGGAGTTTTTTAATTTACGCTTTTGAGACAATCTTTAAAGTTTATTTATGTGTTTATTTATTTACTTTTTGTCGGGGTTGTCGACGTTGTGTTTACCGGTGTGACTGATGTGGTTTATTACAAGAATCTTCAAGAAGCTGCTCATTTGTCGGAACTGCCGATATCGGACCACTATAACATATAGCAGTCATACAAACTGAACGATCGAAATCAAGTTCTTGTATGGAAAACTCTTACATTTGACAAGCTATATTCACGAAATTTGGTATAAATTATTTCCAAGGCAACATCTAATCAAATGTAAGTTGTACTAATAGAAATACACCTGTGAAGGGTATTTAGCTTGGGTCAACCGAAGTGAGCATTTTTTCCTGTTGTGTTTTACTCGTCTAAATACGAATTAGGGGACAATGCAGGGATGTGTTCATTTGGTATAAACACTTTTTTTAACAAAATAATTATTTTTTGAGTTTGCTTACATAACTCAAGTCTAACAACATGTTTTAGAAGCTTAATAACTAATGATTTACTGCTTTAGTACATCAATAGTAACGGACGAGAGATAGAACGTGGATCATCAAAACCTCTTCTGAACACATGTTCGGCTAGCTTGGAAGGACAAGATTTTCGCTAGAGGATCAGGATGATTTTGAAGCTTCGACAGGTTTTGGTCCCTTTTGTGTTTACCATTGGTATTTTAATATCTCTCTGGATATTCTCGTTCGCATATATCACAGTACAGCTGTTAGGTTTCGCTTTTGATTGTATACTATTTGCACGGCATAGCCGCATAATTGTTGTACCATACATCCTTATTGTTTTAATGACTGAATTGTTTAGAAAGATGTTATGGTTCAAGGATAAGTTTCAATTTCTACGCTATTACCAATTTAGGCTTGCGGTTAAGTTTTACCGAAATGCAAAAAATCGATCCATCAAACTACCGACAATATAAACAATTTTACAGCTAAAACAAAATACCGATATGTGAAAAATATTTTATCTTGTCCGCCCTTATTTCTATCGAAGCACAGAGAGAGATTTCTACTGACTAATGGTTATGATCCTGAGCGCGTTCAAACGAACTACGCCAGGATCTTTTTTGATTTTCGGTGATTTGATTTTCGGTATTTTTAAATTTAATATATATTTAAATAGCTCTCTAGTCTGCGAATCTTGAAGTTAGTACTTTTGCACTCGTTGGGGAACTCCAGTCATAATTGGAAAATCCTCTGAACAAAATTCATTAACATTTCAAAAAGCTTGTAGAGAACGGTCAACAAGCTTATTGGTCGATATGTGTGACATGATAATCTGCGACTTTTTCCATGTTTTTGGAAAATATCTAAACTTTAGGATGGCATTGAAAAGTTGAAACAAAAGATTAAAARCAATTGTTGGCAACTTTATTATCATTTGCATTGTTATGTGGTCGTAGCCAGGTGATTTCTTTTTATTCAAAGTTTTTGTTATAACTTTTATCTCAGATGAAGTTGTATACACTTCGGGGATTGTTCTTAGTACATTCTGGGCCAGAGATGGAATCGAGAAATTGTTCTCTGCCGTGTGAGGTTAATATACTTCTCAAATATGAGTTACAAAACAGTTTGCCTTTTCCTCTTCAGAACAGGGCCAAGCACCGGTTTTTGCTTCAGCAGTCTTTTCCTCCACTTTTCTCCGCCAATTGGTATTTCAATTTAGATGATGGCGATAGGCTGTTGGCGGTGCGTATTGTACTTCGGAGTTTTAATGTTGCTACGGTAGCTGCTGTTGAGAGTAAACAGTTGAATACATGAATATTTTCCTAATTGTTGATTTTTTCTACATATAATTCTGTTATATAATTGGCGACCTGTTGAGAGAGTACTAAAAAAATCATTGAATTACTTGTCAGTTATAGAGAAGCGTAGTGGGAAATAAATGACAAAAGTTGTTAGATTAGACCTCTGCTGTCCGCTTTGCATTGCCCTTCGATGTTGGCTTTTGCAACTTTCATTGCTCTGGTGACTGTTGTCCTTGGAGTGAAGGTACTAGTGCCCTTCTTCGAGCTAGATGCGAAATTAGAGGAAGCAACCGTGAGAAATGCGTTGAGTTCGCTAATCACTTGAATGGAATGCCTTCGCTCTCTTTCAAGTGAGCGCTAAACACACATTTTATAAAAAAGCTAAGTTCGGGAGTAACTGAATCTTTTGTACAACTTGCAAGGACCATAGTTCAGCACAATCGAGAATGGAGTACAATCTATGGTTATAAACCATAGGCTCAATTAGTTCTGAAACTATATTTTGGGTCCCGGCAGTGAAAGTGACTACTATGTATGAG